TAGGCACATGGTTAGGTCACGGCATGTCACGGCACCCTACGTCCTCCACTTTCCACCATTACTTGGCATACCAAACGACGTCCATTTGCTTTGAAATTTGAATATGTGGTAGATCTCGTTGAATACTCTCATATTCCTAGAGCTTGCCCGAGAAAATTTGGATATTCTTCGACGATGTCCAGGGCCGAACATGCGCACTCGATCATGGATCTAATTTTTTCAAATGTGCTTATTTTGGCCTAAATTTTCAATTTTTCACCTTGGCATTCTCTTTACAATACCCTCTTTGTCATATTTTGATAAGTGCACACCAAGGTGTTCTATATGTATGTTGAAGTAAGTTTGGGGAATTTGTGAACTATTTGTCTCGCTTATCTCATTTCCCCTATCGTTTTTTTAAAAAAACTGCAGTTTACTTACTATTATTTCTTTACCTTTGCAGGATGCCCCTAAAGCGTACATCAAAAGGAAAGGAGAAAGTTAGTTCCACATCTGGCACAGCCCGGACTAGGGAACCCGAAGGGGGAGTCTGACATTTTCTTTCTTCCGACCAAGTAGCTCGCTATGCAAATGTTGTCCGGGAATGGGTGCTCATCCCCGAGAGACCAGTTAAGTTGGATGATTTTTCAGGTTTTGAATTGGTTTATCTAGTCCACAACTGCGGGTGGGAGAAGGTGATTGAAAGAACACACCCCATTTATGAAAATTTGGTGCGGAAATTCTATGCAAATTTTAATACTGAAATAGACACATCGGGATCGACCATCTGCATCAGACTTGGGTTTGGGGCAAATGTATCATGTTTTCACCCGAGGTAATACATGATTACTATTAGCTCACCTGGACAAATGTAGTCCCAGTCCCGCATGATTTCAACTGGGTTGAAGTTGCAGAAGTTCTATTGGGATGGGAAAATACTTGGCCGCTTCCTACTGCTGATTGGTATCAGATTGACCTCACTTCGTCTATAGTCATCCTATGGTTGTTCATCTGTCACAACATCAAAACAATCTCCCGTAGGACGACATTCACAGATCAAAAGGCGTGTTTCATCTACCACTTAGTTCGGGGGAACAAGATTGACTTGACCACTTACATTTACAATCAGATACACGTTATAGGCGCATGGGATGACAGGCACACATCACTGATATTCTCGAGCCTGATAAGTGGAATTTGTAGAGCTGTCGACATAAAAGTTCAGCTAGGGGAGGCACCGGAGAAACCAAGTCCATTTATCAAACGCCTCACACTCGAGGCCCAGGACCGTGCCAGGATTAAACATCAACAGAAATTGAAAAACGAGCGCCGGCGACAGTAACAAGCTGCAGAGTGTCTAGTAGCTGAGGACTTTGAAATGCCACAGGCTCCACCACCACCGGCTGATGTGGACACCCAGTTATTGCCGCAGATATTTGCTACTATGATTGGACACGGCTGAGACATGCAGCAGCTTCAGCAATCCTTTGGGGCACTGACTACCACCATCCAGCAGGTGCAGACAGATATGGCATCTGCATGAAACTTCACGTCCACTGCCAGCAGTGAATCCATAGCAATACGTCGACAGATGAGTACCTTTGACGGGCGTCTGGGCATGTACGTTGGCCGGTTGGACGGTATACAGTGTCGGGTAAACGAGTCTTGGGACTGTCTAGCGAGTTTGGAGACGAGGGTTCAGGCCATTCAGAAGGAGCAGACCCAACAGTTTACCATGTTGAGAGAGATCTTGTCTCGCCTTTCCTCCCCTCCTGGCGATGATGATACCGGGCCCAACTTTCCATCCCAGCCACCGTTTTGATCAGGGAAGTACTGCTTTCCCCATTTTGATTTTTCATTTTCATTTTGTCATTCAAATTATGTCTTTAATCTTTTGTTAATCTTACATTGAGGACAATGTATTAATTAAGTTTGGGGGGGAGTGACATAATTTTAAGTCTCTATCTGTGTTCATCATTATCTATTTTCCACTGCTTTCCATTACTGCATAATGTGTGCATGATGCGTGTTAAAAAAAATTAATTTTGCATTTTATTCAGTTATTTTCTTCATGCATGATTGTGTGGGCTTGATAACCTTGTTAGCTATGATGATATTATTGGACTAGTTTAAACTGCAAAATTTTTGGATCTGGTGCTAATTAGACTACCTTATACTTGTTGATGCAACACTTGACTTTTTCTATGCATGCTATTCATGCTTGACATATTAGGAGAATGACTGAATTTTGGGCATAGTATATGAAAAGAATGATAACCCTCTATTGAATTAGCCCATGAACTACCTTAAGACAGTTTAGTGATAGTTGAGCTATTATAAGAAAGCATTGAGATGAGCGGGGGCTCCGTACATAAAATTTATTGTGTGGATTGCCTAGACTAGTGGGATGAAGAGTAGGTGAAAATCTTAAATTGGGGGTTGATTTTGGAAACTAAATGTCTAAAAAAATGACAAAGGGCACAATTTTAATATGTGAGAATAAAACACTTCTTTTCATGCATTTATGATTTGAGCAAGTAAGCCTGTAAGGATGTTTCACAATCTGGTGCCCTAAAGCCAACTGGTTTGGGAGTCACCGGCCCAAAGCTCGTTACATGGGTCATATAGAAAACAAGAGGGAAATGAGTTAATAAAAAGTCATCTTATCGAGCCTTTATAACTCGAGTGAATAAGCCTGCAAGGGTTTAAAACCGGGTGCCCTAAGGCCAACTGGTTTAGGAGTTACCGGCCTAAAGCTCGTTATATGGGTTATATAGAAAGCAAATGAGAAGATGACAATCAATCAGAAATTAAAGAAAGGTGAGAAAAACAAAAGAGAGACAAAATATGACGAAAAGCCCTTAGACATTAGGCGAGACAAGTAATCTAGTTTGATCTTGAGTGTCAAAGCAGTCAAATCTAGGAGAGCCTTCACTTTTTGAAATGTAGACTTGTGATGGTAATGCTAATCCAAACTATGAGAGGGTGAGGACTACAACTATATAAATTCCGACTCTTAAAACACAACCCTGGGATAATTGAGTGAAAATAATAAGTTTGGGGGGTTGTACATCTCTCGAGAGAGTAAGGATAGATTTGACCACTTGGGGTCAGGACTCAAATTCATCATCAACATGATATGTTGGCATGAATTCACACACGCACATCAATTTGCATTAAACAGGTAAAGTTTGATGTCATATTTGCACAGATAAATTTTTAAATACTCAGTCCAATCCTGAGCCACAACAGGGTATTAAGTCATGTTGTTCATAATTAAGTCACTATCTTGTTTGAGGACAAACAATAGTTCAAGTTTGGGAGGGTTTGATAAGTGTGTTTTTGCACACTTATTTAGGTCACAAACATGACTTAATAACGAACAAAATGATTGAATTGTGGCTTAATCTTTTACATTTGTGAATTGTAGGGAACAACGATGAACATGGTAAAATTCAGGAGAAAAGATGCGAAAAAGGACTAAAATGACGTAAAGTGAAAGTTTAGGGACCAAGATGCAAATCAAGAAATTGATTAAGCTAATTGTCAATTGATGATACCTTGGGATAACTGAATGAAAAGAATGAAGAAAAGATGCCAAAAAGTGAAGGATGCAAGTGAGAGGATCAAAACGCACATCTGCCATAGTAGATAGTACTATGCGACCGCATAGTACTATCTTTTATGCGGTCGCATAGTAGCTTACCGAAAACAAAGATGTTTCAAAATTTAACTCTATGCGACCGCATAGAGTTGCTCTATGCGGTCTCATAGAGTAATTATCGAGGAAAAAATTAGTTTTATTTTTCTTCCGAAACTGTTATGGAAACAATATTTTTAGGGTCCTATAAATACAAAAATTCGATCAGAACGTAGGGGACGTCATTTTTACATATTTTTGGGAGATTTTGAATGAGAAACGAAGGATAGAACAAGAGAATAACATCGCGCCAAGTGAAGATCGGATTGAAAATTGATTCGGGTGATGTAGTTTCTTCAAATATTTTTATGTTTTGTTCTTTTTCGCATGTTAGGCTAGATTTATCATTGTTAGGAGATCGATGAACCTTGTAATGCTTCGTTTAATTGTTGTTCTGGATTTTTGACGTATTTGAACACAAGTTCCGGATTTGATTGATTTATTACGTTTTTATTTTCATATGATTATTGTGTACGTAATTATATGATTGTGATGGCCTATTTTATGCATTTGAAAGAAGGAAAATAGGTTCGACATAGTATAAATCATCATAGGGTCCGCTAGGGGATAGAAATATACCTCTATGCCTCGTGTGAATCATTGGATATTCGTGAATTTATAATGCATGTCAGTATGTTAGTATTCGTCATAGAAATATAGTCGAATCATATATTGGGATAGGTTTTGCATTGCTCGAGAGAGATTGCTAAATTAAAATAGGAATATCGATTCATCTTTTGCGAAATTGTGTGTCAAATTTGTATAATTGACAATTGAACGGGTATTGCTTGGGGATTCGTGATCCTAGTGTGCTAGTACATCTATTAATTTCATAAAAATTCTAGTTAAATTGCATCCAAATTATTTTGCACTTAGTACAATTCTTCATTCATATTTGCATCAACGGTTACATTTTGTTAGTTAAAGTACAAAACCTCAATTTGGTTGTCGTGTTTCGGTTAAGGTCGTACTAGATTAATTTGAACTAATTCAATCCTCATGGGATCGATACTTAAACTCATAGTCCATTTTATTATTTGTTAACGAACCGTAAACTTGCGGTGGATTTTAAATCGGAATAAATAATTTCTCGAACAGTAGTCTTTGGGTTCATAGAAGTAGCTGCCTACGTTCGATCCTTTGTGGTTAAGGTTTGTGGAGTTTTCAGATTGTACAAACAGGTACAATGTATTCTGAGCCCTAAATAATCGATTACTGATGTCAATGATTCATTTTTAATTCCTCTGTGTTCTGGTGATTTTGGGTTCAAGTTATTACAGGTGGTATTGGTAGAGGTTTGTGTTGTTCTAAGACTACAGAATTGAGACAATTAACAAGTACATGATATTCTGAATGGCTTCGAGTTCTCAGCATCAAATACTAATGAAGTCGAGATAATTAAAGTACTACAACAATTACAAACAAATACTAAATGGTAAGCAACCATCTTTTTCCCTAGCCAAAACATCACATGAACAACAGGTTTAAGATTTCTATTTATTGCCCTTCTTTTTCCACAGATCTCCAAACATTCTAATGCCAGAACCTTTCCTCTTTCCGCTCCCAAAAACATCGTCTGTGTCATCAAGTAGCCCAGGTGAACCCATATAACCGGCATATCCGCCAACAGTTTCAAACACATTACCATAGTGTTTGTCCATTGATCCACACCTCTCGGAGAGCCTTTTGCCATTCATTTCCACACCACCAGCTAAAACTGATGCTGCAGCATCAGCTGCTTTTCGCCATTGCTCGGTGTGAATATGAAGCTTCTTCATTTCAGCTTCTAATTCAAGTTTCACTCTTTCGGTAGTTTCTAGCTTCTCATTTAACTGAAGAACATTGGTTTTGCTCTTTTCCAGCTCTTGTTCGGCTTGATTTAACCTGAAAGTCATTTCCTCTCCCTTGGATTGAGCCGAGGAAAGTTCCAACAACTTCTCTTTTATCTCGATTTTTAAACCTTCATTTTCTTGGCGAAACACTTCTAGTTCTTTTTCCCTCTCCTCTAGTTTAGACTTTAATGTACTTATCTCATCGTTCTTCAAGGCCACTTCATCAAATGATGGCTTTTCTGGCTTTGTCATGGTTGCTGATTCAATTGATAAGCTGACAGCTTTCGGTTTGAGTTCATCTTGATCAGAAGGTAGGCTCAGTTCAGTCTTAGATTCAACAGTTACTTTCTCGACAGGAACTTCAAAGACATCAGTTTCCTGCTGGTTTTCCTCAGATACTACAACAGCAACAACGCCTTCCTTTTTGTTTGATGCTATATTTTCAGTTGGTGTAGAGTGTTTTTCTCGGACTTCAACAGGCTCAGGGACCATTTGCTGTTTCTTAGATTTCTTCTCGAGTTGTTCTTGAGCTGGGGTGGAGTGTTTTTCTTGGATTTCCACTGGCTCGGGGACCATTTTCTGTCTCTTTGATTTCTTTTCGAGTTGTTCTTGAGCGGATTTCTTCGCAGCCTCAGCCGAGGCTAATTGGTCTTTTAGGCTTTTAAGCTCGTCCTGTGCTTGGCCAAGCTGAGATTCCAAATCTGCAATGCGGGTTCCAAGTTTCTTTTGTTTCATCGGATCAGAATGAGCACCTCTTGGGGATTGACCATCTGTCAATCTTGTGCTCCTATCGGCTGAACGATGATGTGGTGGATCAGAATCAGAGCTCGATGTCCTCAAATGAAGTGGTACTGCCCGGGGAGATTGCCTTTGCTGCATTTCTGTTCCTCTGATCCAAGAAATATGATTTGATCAAAAACAAATAAAATAACATGCACTATTGAACAAGAAAGCAGTCCCAGGCAATAAGGCTACCTTGATCTTGGCATTTGGTCGATTTACAGAAAACCTAATCGAAACACTGATGAAAGATCAAAGTTACTCAATCTTCAATCTGCAAAACATAAACTTAAAGAAATATCAGATAACATAGGTAAAAATAGAATATCATATAAAAGATATAAGCAGATCAGCTTATCCTATCACATTTGGAGAAACAATTAAGCTACTTATACATAAATTTCTTTACACATTTGTTGACAGATGCTAAGGTGGCATGCATTTTAGCCTTTGATTTGAATTTATCATCATCTGTCAAACAATCTATAAAGAAAACTATACAAGTAAATGAAATTCTTCTATCAAATGTGTTCTTTTTCGACCTAAAGTACAATATCATTAAGTCCCCTCTTAATGTCTTAAATTACACCTACAATATAACAGGGAAAAGAGCATGTACATGATTAATTTAACAGCAACACTGCATCAAAATTGTTAATAACACATTAAATTTTGAAGTTCAGTTGATTTTAGACTCACCATAAATTTTCAAAATATCACGATTTCGTTCCAGTAAATATATTTGAGAGAGGCTTCTACACATTTTTGCTAAAACTTATATGGTACAAACTAGCACAAAAGCTAACAACATGACTCAACACAAATCTCAGTCTTTAAAACTGACAATTTCAAGCTTCTCGTTTTCCCTATCATAAGTGAATAAATCTTCGCCAAAAATGTAAAATTTCACTTCTAAATTGCCAATATTTTGTAATTTTTCAGTTTCATTGATCCCAGTAAACAAAGCATATAGTGCAGACAATCGTGCCAATTCCTAAGCCAAATAATGTCTAGTGTTCCATCTTTTGAGAGAGAAATAACTGTAAGAAAATGAGAAGACATGTTTTCTTGAGAAAAAGAAAAAGTAAAAGTAAATTTTCAGTCCACTTATTATTGCAGCACCAATCAATATTATGAAAAGGCGTGCACACATGGGTAAATCTGCGAGATTTAAAATTTACAGATCTACTTTTCACAAACATTAACCTGCTCTTGTTCCACTAATCGAGAGCTAAATAATTAATTAAGAATTTACGAGTCATTCACTAAAACTTTAAAAAAAAATATATATATATATATATATACACAAAAACATTAGTCCAATTGAAGAATGTGCATTGAACTAAAGATAAACTGATAGAAACAATGGATTTAACCATTAATCCAAGTCTTGAGTAAAGAAAAGTAAATAAAACATTATCAAAAAGCAGACCAAAATGATTTGCAAGATGCATCTGAAAATCTAGAAATAGTAAGATTTGGTTTCAAGTTTCAAAAATTTTCCTTTTGCATCAGAAAAAAGAATACAGTGAAAAATCTTACCTTGAAAGTGCTCTCTTCTGTCAAAATCTGCTGCAAGATTTGAATGAGAGAATGTTCATATCAAGAGCGTAAAAATGAAACAAAAAGGCTTTGGCTTTGAAGCCGTTGAATGGCAATTGTAAATGCACGCGTGTGTACATATATATTGACTGATCTTCTTGGGACACGAGACTAGGCAGTGAAATGGTATTTGAAATTTTGAATTTGGAAGATAGAGAATAATATGAAGTTGGAAGAAGAGGACAAGAAAGTAATTTTGAGAAAGTTTTTGTAAGTGGACATGTGAATCTTGGAAAGCCAACTTGGACGACAGTATCTTTCTTTTGTTTACTCTTGTCTTGTCTTTTCTTTTTAATTTTTTCTTATATTTCAACTCTCTCTTGCATTTGACCTTTCAATTTACTTTAGATTGTCTTATTTGAGCCACGTTATTTTGAAATAACGTATTTTGAAATAATGAATTGATAGAGAATGTGTGGTTAAAAATTGAAAAAAAAATTAAATTTTCGTATAATATTATTTAATTTATTGAAGAATGTGTATTGAAATAATATCAAATCACTGTTTAAATTTTTTTTTTTTAAATTACGACTCAAACGGGACCATAGTAAATAAGAGGGAGAGAGTGTCTACTCTGGTGTTTGAGGATCGTTTTGTGTTTGTTGAAGGAAAGATTTTTGTAAAATCATTTAACTAGTCCATTTTGCTCCATAAAGTTCAAGGAACTTTGATATAACTTATTCTTGATATTCCACCATCCCATTTATATAGGTTGTCTTTCTTTATTTTTTTGTCTCAATTATATAGTCTTGTTTGTTTATTGAGAATGTTTTGTTTTGTTCATTTACTAATATACCTTTATTTAATTTACCTAATTATATTCAATTTCTCCCACTTAATTTTGAAATTGTACAAATATAGATAAAGGTAAATTAGAAAAGTTTTTGACAAAATTTTCTTTTTTAATTACATTAAATACAATTTTTTAATCTGTGTAAAAAACAAAGCAAGCCTATATAAATAAAATGGAGGGAGTATAACTTATTTTTGAAAAATAGCTTCATTCAAGAGTGTAATAATCATTTTCTACAAACTTTTAAGGCTTTGATATAACTATTATAAGTTGGAGGGGCCATCCACTATTTTATAATTGTCCTCCACAACATGCTAGGTTTTGCTTGTCGTCTAATGGTCAAAATCACATTGAAGGTTGTAATAATTCATCATTTTGCATGTTACATTGATTTCGATTAAGTCAATGAAAAGTTCAACTCCATAGGTTAATTTAGCTAGGAGACATTTTTAGTGTTTTGTTTAGTTCAATAAATTTGACAAGCTCATTAAAAGAAGTTAAAAATTTATGATTATTTAATTCAAAATTCTAAGATTGATGTAGTGAAAGCAAATATATTGTCTAGATTTATGGGTGTTTGGTAGTCATTTTTATGTAAAAAAGAATTTTTAAATAGTAAATTGATGGAAATGTGTGGTTGAAAAATAAAGAAAAGTTTTTGATTTATATATAATATTATTTTAATAAAAAATGTGTGGTTGAACAGAAGAGAGAGAAAAATATATTTTGAAAAAAAAAAGATACCAAACGGGGCTTGGCTCAGGATTTGTAGTCTAAATCAATTAAGATTTTTGGACCCATTAAGGGATTCTACACGTTACTTATCAAATAATAATTGCATTATGTACAATCAATCATTGATCTACACATTTAACCAGCAAACACTTACCTATAAATAATTTGATATTGTCCATATAATTATAATAAAATTAAGCAAAAGGGGTTAAATATATGAGTGATTAAACACTCATTATCATTAAAATACAAGTTTGCAGACTTTTAGTTTCGATACAATTTATAAATTTGTTTATAGATTCGATCACATATCTTACTATTTATTATTATTCATATATTTCATAAAATTCACTGATATTTCTCTTACTATTCCTATTTAAATCATTTATAAACTTGTTAAATAAGGGCGGGTGATGGAAGTAATTTCTTGAAAATGCAAATGATTCCAAAAAAAAGTAGATGGGTTCAAATATAATTTACTAGACATTGCATGTGAAGCTTAAATGTAAACCCAAGTACCCAACCACTTTCAATACCCTATCTCTTACTTTTGTCACTTGTGCCTTTCACATTAATGGACTCAAATATTGGTCTTCCATTTAGTATTTATTTATCTTCATTATAAAATCAAATCTCAATTCTAGTTATTGAATATAACATGCTCGCAACTTCTCATTTTAGCTTTCGTCCTTGCTTGAAAGCGATGATTTGAAAATTATTTTTCTTCACACTTATTTTCACACAAGCACTTCATCTTACAAACCGATGTTGTTTTACAACATAATGAGAAAGCACTGCAAACTCTTCAAAAAAAAAAGTAAGCACTGCAAACTCTTCGAAAAAAGTATAATTAAATCAATGTTTTTCACTGCTAAAAACATTCGTACAATCTGAAGAGAAAATGTTGAGATAATGATTTAATAAGGTAAATTTTGTTCAAGATTCTATCTATTTTTGTCGAACTATTGATGGTTTAATTTAAATTTTTAGTCTCAAAAGTTTATAAGTAAATTGAATTCCATAAAAGAGGGAAAAAAAAAAAGCATTAATTTCATACCACTGAATTATTTATAGTGACAACGGATATTGTAATAACATAGATTTTGATTTTTCTACTCTTGACAACCAATAACGCGATTGGGGTCGTTCATATGTTTACATAGAAATAAATTTATGCAGAAGTTACTTATTTTAATATTAAGACAAAAAACTAATTTTAATTAAATATTTTTTCTTTAAAAGCGTAAAAAATTACTTTAGATTATCTTTCGTTTATATTAAAAGCTTGCAAAACATGCTAGTTTAGTCCCTGTTTGACCCTATTTTTTATAACTCTTTTTCCTTTGAACTTATTTTTAATCACACTTTTCACAGCACTCACAATTTTTATCAATTTTTAAATTATATATATTCATCAATTTTTATCCAAATCTACTAAAAATATGATTTCATCTCGCCTATAAAATCTTTGAATATCCAAAACATATTTGGTTATTTTACATTTGAAATGGTAAAAGCAAATCAAGATCTATGATAAGAAATTAGTTGGGGTCCAATTCTCCAACCCAAACATCGATTATGATATAACATTGCAATATATTGGGACAGCCTATCATCGATCGCATTCACTTCACTTTGCATGAATTGCAATATATTGCGACAGCCTATCATCGATCGCATTCACTTCACTTTGCATGAACGATGGCAAGTTATTTCGCTTTCCATTATGGTTGCAAATTTTTAATATGCCCCATAACTTTTAATTTCACTAACCTCTAAATTATTCATGAAATATGAACAAACTATTAATGGAGTGACATCCAATAAATTGTTTTTTTTAAAAATTATATAGATGGAAAGAAAAATTAAGTACAAAATAAAAACTAATACTGGCTTCTATCAATCTTTTTTATCCACATATTGATATGCATATTGTACTGTTACCTTCTATTATTGCTAGTACTAATTCATGTGAAGCTATCGTTACCACGTTTAGTTACTTGTACCCTATTTCTTTTCGTATATAATACTATCGAATATTCTAATATTGTTGAAATTATTACCTCAAAAGTAATGTTATTCGTAGTTGCCCTATGTGACATCTTATATGGATATTGGTAATTTGATGTGTTAATATGGTAAATTTTTCTTGCCTTATATATTAAATCACTAATCACCACATGTATGTCATATATGGCGACCGCAATAGTGAATAACTGTAAATAACATAATTCTTGTCTTAAAGGCTCTAATTTAATAAAAATTTTAATTACAAGTAGGAGGAGAAGTTGTAACTATTATTATTATAGACACATTTTCGATGATCCTGCCATGTTCTAATTGAATTGGAGAAGGAAACAATTGGCAGAAAATCGTTAGGCGTGGTATTAGGTTATTTTTCTTTTGATAGTTGGGGTTCTGATAAGTGAGAACTTCTCTTAAATTGTAACATTTTTTCATATAGTGAAATGTCTCTTGATTATATAGTCCATATATTTTTGCATTATTTTATGTTTTTCTGAATTCTCAATTTTTATGTGAACAAGGATCTTGCCGCTAATTGTGGATTGGCGTCAATTCCCAAAAAGTTGTATCAAAACGTTTAGACTTTAGGAGTGTTGGAGTAATAAATAAGATATGACAAGCTGTGTCAAATATAACGTGAAGAAATTTGATGGAAGAATAAATTTTGGCTAGTGGCAAGTACAAGTCAAGGATATTTGGATTCGACGTAAACTACACAAGGCTTTAAAAGCAAACTAGCCCCTAGTTCTAACAAAAGAAGCTGAAAAATCCAATTGAGCAACATGGATTAGGAAATTTTGAATTAAAGAGCTGCAAGTATGATATCTTTGTCTAGCAAAAAAAGTTCTTGCAAATATTCATGAAACTTTGGAAAAAACTTGAAGAGCTGTATCAGACAAAAGGTGTTAGAATTAGGGTGGTGTGATCTGAATTTCATTTTGAAGGTGATTGGAAATTCTAATCAAGGTCGACATTAAGAAGAATTATATCTATTGAAATGCTTTTGGAATCCTATTC